TTTTTTTTCCCCTCGCAGGTTCAAAGCCCACGCCGCCAATTCAGACGAGGTGCTCCTGGGCGAAACCCAGATGGGACCGGGCTCCTTGGCGCCAGCCATGAATGGAATTTGTGATGGCGTCGGGTAAGGGCTTGGCTTTACTCAACCGGTTACCTGACTTTTGTGTGCTAGAACATTTTATGTTTTGTGCAAGGAGCACTACATGGTATGACCCACACTTTTGCTCATACCTGCATCCCTCCTCTCCTCTCCTGGCCTTGCCTCTCCTGGCCTTGCCCCTCCCCTTCCTTTCTTTATCCTACCTTCTTCTCTTCCTCTCCCCTCCCCTCTCATCTCCCTTTTCCCTCCCTTCTCCCCTCTCTTTCCTTCTCCTCCTCTCCTTCCGTCCCTTCCCCTGTCCTCTCCTCTTCCCCTTCCCTTCTTCTCTCCCCCTTCCTTCTACCTTCTTTCCTCCCCCCTTCCCCTCTCCTCTCCCTCTTCCCCTCTTCCCTCCCCTTCCGTTTCTCCTCCCCTCCCCTCTCTTCTCTCTCTCTTCCTCTCCCCTCTCCCTTCCCCTTCCTTCCATCTTCTCCTCCCCTCTATCCCTCTCCTCTCCTCTCCCCTCCTCTTCCTTCTCCTACATTCTTCTCCCCTCCCTCTTCTCCCTCCCTCCCCTCGTTTCTCTCCTCCCCTTTTGTTCTTTCTCCTACATTCTTCTCCTCCCTCTCCCCCTCTCCTCTCCCCCTCCCCTCTCTTCTCCCCCTCCCCTCCCTTTCTCTTCCTTCTCCTACATTGTTCTCCCCTCTCCTCTCCCACTTCCACTCCCTTCCTCTCCCATCGATGGAACACTGGATCACTTTATCAGAAATCCATGTTTCTAACCTTCACTACAATCACAAAGGGAAGGACATTTCATTCCTTCTTTCGGATTTCAAACAGGTGTCGTGCAAGGAGGAGGCAAAAAATGAAAGTCTCCGTTCTCGTTGTTGGAGAAGGCTGGTGGGTGTCCAGCACAGATTGGGTCGGGGCTAAAGACCAGATTAGTAAACTCATTTTGGACTGTTTATGTAAAATACTCCTCGGATGCTTCTCAGCCCACTTGGTGCTCATGCAATTAACATGCAGCGAGCGCATTTGCCTCTCTTGAGCGTCATCAAAAGCATCCAGTCACGGTGCCAGATCTGTAGTGGCAGGTGTGGGAAACGCTGGATTTCAGCCAGCCCAATAAAATGAGCGTAGTCAGTGGCCTTTAAAAAAATGAGAACTTCCCAGCCTTTCATTTGAGGTTGTCCACCTGAGGAAGCTCCTTTTGTGGTGAGCTTCCTTGGCTAAGTTCAAAGGACCACGTCCCAGGTCTTGTCACCTGCTGCTTTCTCATCAACCAAGTGATGGAGTTGAGTTGCCCAGGCTGGATCATATTTTTCTTGAGCATCGGTAGCCCTAGCCGAGATGACCAAATTGCAGGAGACAACCTTTTTGTTAGGCCGTCCTGGCTGGAAACCCGCCACAAACGAGGTCCAACAAACCAGGAACGGTTTAACCATCAATGCTTTAATCAGCGCAAAGAAAAGGAAAGTCAGCACTGGGGTAACAGTCCCGCAGTGCTCAAATATATACCGTACGCGCCCCAGCCCCACCCGGTTCCACCCAGTCACGCCCCTCCCCCGCGTCCAATCCGCCCCGCCACCACCCACACCTGCAGGTCTGTCAGGCCGAACATCGTCAGGTCGAGCGCAGGCGGCGCACAAGAGAAGCGTCCGTCCATAAGGCCCTGAGAACCCAGGAGGCGCCCGGGCCGCCACACAACGCGACGCGGCGCCGCGCACTTTCAGGGGCGCCGCGCACTTCCAGCCAATAGCGTCGCCCCGTCACA